AATGATGGTCGAATACCAATATAAGCAGCAAGATCAAGAAATGGTTGTTTCCAATTAAATGGTTTTTTTGGTTTCGGAGGATTAACTGGTGTATCTGGTAAAGTATCAAGATGTGCACCAGGTGTTTCACTTGTTTCAGCAGCAGTTATAGTTGCATGAACAAGACGTAAAATAAGTAGAAGAGATGTATTTAATACAATGGCATCTGTATTTGACATAGATGAATGTTGTGGACTTTCACGTACTTGTGTATATGTTTCAAAAAAATCCTCCAATGCTTCTTCAACTCGAGTTCGACAAGAAATTATTTGTGCTGTATTAAAGTAACTTGTTGATGCTGTTGTATATGGAAGTGTTGAATCCAAAAAATCAAATGTTGAATCAAGAAGACGACATATTGCCTTGAAAAAAAGAAGTCAATTTTTTTGTATTATAAAATACTTTGATGTTCTTCTCAATTATTACTATTATGTATTATCACAATAGATACTCAACGATTCTCAATCTTATATTCATAGAAGACAAACTTACATTAATCAAATGTCGTTGACCAACAAATGCATGATGATGATGATCTAACATTAATATCCCATTAATTGTTCGTTGTATCGAAGCAAGACTTGTAGACCATACTGTTAAACGTGTTTGAAGTGTTGATGTTGTATTAATAAATTTTTTTATATATGGAATGTGTCGTAAAAATTTTCTCATAAAATTAAGAAATTTTAAAAATATAAAATAGGGTTCATATGAAATTTCACCTAACGCACGTTGCATATGTTTTAATTCATCATTAACTAATGAATTTAAATCTTGTATATCACTTTTAAGTAAATGATCATCTCGAAGATCTTCAAATGATGTCGAAAAATTATTAATATCATCATCACGATAAGTATTAGCTGGTATTTCAATACCATTATCATCATCAGTAAGACTCATTTTTTTATGATGTTTATGTCCATAATGTTCATTTAAATGTGTATCATGATAATCAGATATAAGTGAAACAATTGCTGTTATTTCACGCCTTGCTTGCCGAGCAATAAATCTCATACGCATTGTTAATTCACGATAAGCAGTTGGTACAACTGGTAATGGTATACATGTAACAACTACAGCTAATGAAGAACCAATTGTTAATGATGCCCATATTTGTAATACAAAAAAAGTATTTATATTTGGTTTAGTAAACCATTGTAAAAGTACAATACATGTTGGTACAATTGAAAAACGACGAACAGTTACTGGTAAATCAGTATAAACAATAAGAAGAACAAGAATATTTGTTGCACCAATACCAATAAAAGCATGAGGTGTAAAAACATTAACTACAAATAGACAATATACAGCAGCAATAACACCGCCAAGAAATAAACGAATAGCTGATTGAATTGTAGCACCAAGTGTACTTTTTATACAAACTATAAAACTAACACCAAGCAGAAGTTGACCTTTGAGTGTATTCGAAGTCACTGGTGAAAGTGTAAATGCTGCTACACACTATGGATTTATTTTGAAAAAAGAAAGAAGATTTTATAATTTCTTTTTTGATTATTTTCAACACTTACAGCAATTCCTAAGAGTGTACGTAATGCAATAATAAGTCGAGCTGAAAATGCTGGTAATAATGGGTGCCAACACGTAAAACGTGTTCGTCTATGATTATGTTTCTTTGGTGATGGTGTCGACATAATACTAATATTTCATTTAAGAGTATGATCTAAAATATACATATGTAATAAGTAGCTTATGCAAATAAAATACTTGACAAGGTTACTGATACAAATGAAATGATTTAGTAAATATAATTGTCAGTAATATACTAAAGCTTTTTTTTTTCTTTTTTTTTATATCCTTCAATAATTAATTGATAATCGAAGGTGAACTGAGTCAAGTTATTTTTTTTTCTTTTTTTATTTTAACAATATTCTTTTGTTCTACAATTAATTTTTCTTTTTTTTCTTGTTGTTCTGGCTTAAACGAACAAGTGTATATAAGCGAGTGTTATCTCGATTAATTCCTTCTATCAAAATGTCATTTTATGTAAGGTAAAACATAATAAAAATTTGCACAGATGGAGAAATCGAAGGAAAAAAAAACAAAACGGAACGTGTATATATGTAATTGCACGCTCACATAGAGAGAGAAAAAAAGAGAGAATAAAAAACAACAAACTTCATCTACTCATTGGTAGTATTGTATTCTGGATTTTTTTCGTTTCTCTTAGTTTAGGATAAAATAATATTTGGTAATACAAAATACTTTATTCGCTTTTTTTTGTTATCTTTTAGTTATTCATTGGTATTCAAATATTTACTATAAATAACTTCAATGGCCGATCGAACAGAAAAACATGGCTTTGCTAAACAAGCTTTTGATAAAGTATGTAATATAATTACATAGGTTTCTCTTTTCATTTATGGCTCTAATATAACGAATAGTACTACTTTTGCCCTTTATGATAAATTCTGCCTGGAATATACATCATTTAAAGATTAGATTAGAAGATAAAATAAGTCACGTCTCTCTTTGTTATATATAAATATAATACAAAAATGACGAATCATCATTTTTTCTCCTATCAGTTATCAGAAAAAAAAAGTTATGTTTTATTATCTATTCACATATTTATATATTGTATCAATATACCCATTTTTCTAAATCGTCATAAACTTACCACCTCATCGTAATAAAAAATTCGAGGTTTTCTATTGTGACTTACATTTATGCATGAATTTTTACTATAAACTTGATTTTCTAAGTTATTTATAATTAAAATCGGAGGGTGTTCTACGATGAGAATGAACTCATTGAACTCTGACAGAAAATATCAAAGTCTTATAATATAACAAAAAGGAAAGATCTATTTCCCATGTAG